ATCAGGACAGATGAACTTTTCTTGGTCAATGACGATGAATTCTTTGGGGTTTGCAATGATGCATCTAAATGCCACTGTCTACACAGTTTCTTATTTTCCAGGCACTCTTTAACTGTTGTTATCCAGCTCATGGTTAGGAAACCTTGTTCATTTGGAGGAATACAAAGTCAGATAGGAAGGCAAAAACAGGTGGTGAGACGAGCAGCTTCCACATGTTCATTTTGGAGAAATATGCTGCAAAGAAGACTGGATAAGTGGCTCAGGATCTGGTGGGACTGAGAATGCTGGATCTCCAAACCGTGCTGTGCTGCTGCTATGGGTGTGCAGCACTGGGCACCAGAAAGAGAAAACACCCTTGTATGGTTGAGGCTGAGGGCTGGTATCTGCAGGGCATCTTGGATGTTAGCCCAGTGGAGGGATGTGTGTCCCCACCGTCAAAAACAAACTGCAGCAAAGCGGGGTATTGCTTAGGACAATCACAGAAGCGGAGACTTGGCTGGTTCTATCAGCCAAAAGGAAGCTGGAAAGCAGCATGACTGCTCTTGGTAAGTAAGCCTCAGGGGAGAGCGTGAACTCCAGGGAGGATATTTAAACTATCCTGGCAAAGGAACAAATGGGTTTAAATAGGACGTGAATGGATTTGACAACAAATTAAACAACAGTGGCAACCATTAGTGCAGCAACTTTGGGAACAGCTGTTTAATACCAGCAGGGATGGCAAAAGTCCAAAGTGGCATGAAGATGGAGCTGGGCGAGGATGTTCGCCTTGTTGTTGTGCTCACAGGGGATGGATTTGATGACCCCAGAAACCTCTTCCTGACCTAAGCTTCTGTTAACAAGCCAAGAAGGATTCAAGTAAATGCAACAAACCTGGCACGGTTTCATTTCAGAGCTGCAAGGCCAGCACGCTCACTTTGCTTTAGATGCAGCACATGTTCAAGGGTGAGGAGCAGGGCGGGTGCAGGTGGTGTTCAGGGTAGCACAGGTGGCAGGAGGGACGTTGGTCCCCATGCTGGATTACATTGGTCTTGCAGCAGGAGGAGGTCCTGTGCAAGCCTCATACACAGGGACGTTTAACCCGAGCTGCTCACGCCCCTATGGCTCCTGCCTGGCAGTGGCTCCAAGCATCTTGGTGCTGTTATCCTGCAGGCACACCTCAGGGGCAACCCAGTGGCAACTTCCTGCCCTGATGAACTTACAAAGGCAAAATTAGAGCCGGCATCTCTGTGCAACCCACAGACGAGAGGTGTGTTTAAACAGTACATGCTGGATAACTGTGTCAGCGGCGAAGCTGCCACTTTACCTGCTGTACAGGGGTGTGTGGTAGGGTCCCTTTTGGGAATTTTCCTGCACCTCGTAGGGCAGAAGGGCTGAATCAAGTGAAGAGCAGTGAGGTACAAATAGTGCTGGTAACCACGTGAAACCTTCCCATGCTTCAGTTCTTCATGCAATTTTTCTCTGTCTCTTCTTTAATACCAAAATAGTGCTAATCAGGCATTGCTCCTTTTCTCTTGCTGGTGCCCTGGGTTGATACTGGCATGTTCAATGCCGTTGTTGCTGTCTACATGTTAAACATGGGCATCTCTTGTTCAGATCAGCCTCATTGTGGTTTTTTTTCAGCAAGTGCACGATGTAGCAAGCTGTGCTACCAATAACTGCTTGCTAGAGAGAACTGAAAACTCAGTTTGCAACATACGTCTTCCAGATTTGTATTTTAAGGTAACCAAATCTTTTGCAATGAACCACTTCCACTCAAAAGAAGGCAAAAGACCTTAATGCAGCCTATGAGTGGGACAGAGAAGGGTGCTATTCATTAACGAAGTACAGCTCCCAGCTACATCAAAGTGAAGTGAATCCAGATAGATTCAACTTGTAGATACTGCAAAGAGCCCACAGAGCAGCAGGGTTACCTAGGAGTGACAAACACGGAGGACCTTAGCCAACAAGCTGTTAATGGGGATGGGAATCAAAGATGGCAGGGGGGAGAAAGGGGAATAAGCAGCTGGGACAAGTGACTGTGAGAACAGGCAGAGGCTGTTCACAGAATGAGCTCCTGGGGCAACTACTCATTTCCATACTTCTCATACACTGCATGGCACTTGTGCATGGTAGCTTGTCCAAGCAAAGTCTCCTGTTCAGTTTTCTTCCCAGGGAAGCTATAGATTCACATCCTTTGCCCTTTCTTTATCCATTCCACATTACCCAGCCCTGTTAGGGCTTGTGCACTCTGTGTCCCGCTGTGATAGCTGCCTCCTCAGCTCCTTTGCTCTGGTGGAGAGTGGAGATGAGCTGCTTCTGCCGCTGGGTCTCCTGTGCACCACTTCAGGCATTGCCTTTCTTCGTGTCCCTGTGGCACAGGCTGCGTGCTGGTACCATAACCCCATGCTTGGGTGACAGACATAAAAGAAGTTACAGTCACCAGAACGTTCCCACTGCCAGATGACATTAACAGTCTGGGACTGCTAGATAGTCTCCCTCCCCTCATTAGAAAAAAATAAATAAAATATGTATCTATCTATTCTACCTTGGCATGCAAGCCAGAGCTACCAGGGGAGCAAAGTTCAGGAGTTTCCCTGTGGAGTGTGCTGGTGCCTGCCTACAGGGAAGAGGGCAGGCAGGTCTGTGCAGCACGGCAGAGGCAGGCGGGCTGCGGTGGGAAGGCTGCATGGCACTACCATCCATCACCAGCCTGAGGGTTGGAGAGAGCAGTGCTCACCAAGGCATTCGTAGCATCTCCCAGCCATCACCTCTGCTCTTCCTGTTTAAATGCACACACACACGCAGACCCAATGTTTGGACTACAGCTGTGCTCCATTTGGTGCATCGCTCTGCCCTTCCACAGTTGGACTGGAGCCCTGGGCTGGGAATGAGTAGAATAAGAGGTGCTGAAATGCTTTTTTAAAATAGGTGACAAAGGAAAGAGTTACAAGTGCTCATCTTCTGGTAGTGGACAGGTTGAAGAATAACAAAAGGAGAACTTACACTGAAAAATGGGGTTAACCTTAACCTGCCTGACATGCTGAACATCTTGAGTAGTGAAAAGAAGGTCTGCAGATATCTTCAGAGAAAAGGAAATACAGGTGCACAAAATTGGTGTGGAGGTTTACTGACATAGAAAAAAATTTCTAAGAGAAAAATTGAAACTGCAAATTGTTCTCAGCTCCAAAAGGAAACATCTTCATCCTGCAGTTAAGCAAAGGTTTTTATGAATTGCCCAAAAACTCAGGAAAAGGCATGAAGTAGAGACATGAAACCGCAACAGATGCAGGGCTTTCACTTAACAAATGTGCCTATGGGTAATGGTTGAAAATTACAGTTCCCTTCTAATAAAAAAAGGGCCTGTTCCTTGAACAGAAGACTAGTCAGCATTGGTTTTTAAAGCACAATGAACACCGTGTTTCTGATTTTCCTTCTTGGGCTTTTTTTGTTGTTGTTGCAATGACAAAAGAGGAGCAGCACTACGTGAAGAAAGTGCAGTTAAACCAGACTTTAGAAATTCCATGCCTTGAGGACATGACCTCAGAAAATTTGTCCAATTATCCTTTGAAATGGCTAGTGGTAAGTATTTTTCATCTCAGGTATAAATTTCAGAAGAAACTACAGAGTATTTTTGCAGATTGAAATATAAATGTTAGACTTTGCTGTGTCCTGCAGAATTTGCTAAATAAAGTTATAGGTCTTACTGGACTGTGATATTACAGGGAAAAGTGCAAACATAGTTTTGCAACATAGACACCACAAACAATAGCTGTTAAAGAAACAAAGAGGGAAAATTCCATCTTCATTTCTTTTAATTTTCAGGAGTATGTGTAGAGCAGGTCATTGTCAAAGAACGCAGCAAACATAACAGAGCTAACATACTCCTTGTGTTGGATTTCTCAGGGATTTTTGCTGCAGTGAAGCTTTAGTATCTCTGAAAAATACATGGTTGCTGTGTAGGGTAGTGAGATATCAGGCCGCTTTGAAGTAGAAAAAAAGAGGCTGACTGTAATGTTTTTGTTTTTGTTAGCCTCTGTGTCACAGATGCATGCCAAAGACATGCAAACCCAGTTATCTAGCTAACCACATGAAAACTATTTTTAAACAACTTGCTGTGAGAGATTAAAGCTCATTATATTTTTGTACTGCATCTCACTTTCTGGATAAGTATTTGTATGCATGTTTTAATGTAACCTTTTAGCATTAATTTCAGTATGTAGAGATAAGTGTCAGCCAGCAGTGTCCTTGAGATTTGCCTGTTAATTTCTGCCTATTGTCAATAAGGAGCTGTAACTGTTGAGGGTTTTCTTAAAGGTGACTTTCAACTATTTTGTTTTTGTTTTTTTTTTAGTCTTTTATCCCAGCTCATTATCTATTTAGATCTCCCCTTTGCAGTGCATTCTTAATATTAAAATTCTTAAAATTTTTTGAGGGAATATTCTTGTCCTTACTACTTTTTAGTGTTGCTAGTACACTCTACAAAGTAACAGAGTAAAGGGAAAAAAAAAAACCCCAAATGTCATCACAATGTCATATATGGGTTTCTATGCATCATTCAGTGTTTAGCTTGCAAATATGTACCGAGACACAGATGTCCAGGATGTGCCGGCTGCATCTATATGTAAGGGTGGCTGGAGCACAGGCATTAAGAGGGTATGACTTTTAGCTTGTATTATCATGATTCTGGCTATTTAAAATCTAAAAGAGCAAGGATTTGCTTGTAATTTCAGTAGTGTTTAATATGCATGGGATGTTCTTCACGACTTAAAGATTGCTGCAATGAGAACGCAACTCTGTTGCCCTCTCTGCAGGCTACAGAGACCAGGACTCACAAGACACAGCTGTTTACTCCGTGGTTTATTGGTAAGATGATGACCACTATTGGTTTTGAAGTTCTGTGAGAGAATGTATTTGGAAAAAAATAGATGTTGCAAATGTCCACTTACTACTACTACACAGTGCTAGGGGTGTGAGGGAAGATGTTCATAGTGAGAATAGAGCTGGTCTACAAAAATACTTGGGGGGTGTCTGGTCTTCATACATTGTGTGGGTTGCTCTTTTCACAGGAGGAAAATGGCAGGAAAGAGGAACTCGTGACCAAGGAGCCCTCCTGTCCTGCAGTGTACAGGAATGGCAGCAAGCTTTATGGGCAAAGGGTCCTCCTGGGTTTGGATAATGCTCTAAAGATTTTCCCCACCAAAATCACAGATGATGGCAGGGTGTTCTCCTGCCATGTGGTGTACCACCCAGAGAGAGTCCAGAAGAGCAGCACCACTGTGAGAGTATTTGGTAAGGGGCTTATGCCAAATGCCTGCTTACTTGTGCTTGAAGAAGTAACACTCCTGTTAGGTTCTGAAGGCAATAGCTTTTGAAATACACTGGAGGGGTTTTATATATATATATTTACATTGCATTTTTTTCAGCTGCAATGAGTTAAAATGTTAGTAAACCACCCCATAGCTCTTAGGAAGAATCTGAGGCCATTCCTTCAATTTCTGGCATAAAAAAATAGTAGATCTATTGTGCATATGTCAACACAACTGTCATGCACATTGATTGCCACTGTCTCACGTCAGTGTGTAAGTCTATGTTGGCACTTTGCAGCTTATAGGTAAGCACCTTGATCATCAAGATATCTGTGCCCAAGTTACAAAATGACCATGCTGCCTGTGGTTAGAAAATCATGGCCAAAATTTAGTAAGCAGCTAAAGCCATTTGGAACTACCGTTGTTTCAAAGTCACTCCCTTGAAGGCATGTGGTGTTCAATTGCTGCCAAAGGTTTTGAGTCTGAAAATGAGGTCCTGCGTAGGGCTCTCAAACTGGCCAGGAGTGGCAGGGCCTGTGCACCACAAATGTGTGGGCTGGTATTTCATACGGGAAGCCTTCCCCATCTTTAGTTACTTGCTCTGTTCCCTTTGTAGTGGCTTAGTAACTACTCTACAGTTGCTGAGATGCAACCGAATCAGAGCAGTGCTGCCCACTGAAAACCAGACTGTATTTCCAATGCTCCTAAAATGGCTGGGTATTAAACAGTGGGTGTGTCAACACTCCCTTGACTGTAGCTGCCTGCCCAAGGAAGCCCACAGCTGGGGGAAAGCACAGCCATGCAAGGCTGATGCTCTGAATGCAAAGAAAGATTCAACAGGGAGCAAAAAGAAGAAAAAAAAAGGCAAAACCTGTGTCTGGGTGCTATCGGTCACTGATGCAAGAGAGATAAAAACAGAAGTTAATGATCTGAAATTTCCTCATGCATTTGTGTGATTCAGACATGGGTCTTACTTTGAAAAGTGAACATTTGTCAAATAGCTACAGTGTTACCTGAGTAATTGTTCAAGTACACTAACATATGTGAACTCTTCCTCCCTTCCATTCCTATCCTGCTGATGCTCTCGGCTTGGTTTGTGTATGTTAGCCTAAGAGGTTGCTTTATTTGGCTTATTCTCTGAATTACTGTGTCGTATGTGGTTGTCTGTGCATGCACGCACATCAGCATATTAGCACAACAGGGGAGAGAGGAAAACAAGATAAAGCAACTGTGGCCCTAGGTGGTGAACAGCCTGTGATGCTCCCAGTAAGTGCATGATACTAAGCATATACAACGTCATATGTTAGCCTAAGAGGTTGCTTTATTTGGCTTATTCTCTGAATTACTGTGTCGTATGTGGTTGTCTGTGCATGCACGCACATCAGCATATTAGCACAACAGGGGAGAGAGGAAAACAAGATAAAGCAACTGTGGCCCTAGGTGGTGAACAGCCTGTGATGCTCCCAGTAAGTGCATGATACTAAGCATATACAACGTCAGCGGCACATTATATTGGTTATATCTGTCATTCTGGCCGTTAGAAAGGACGTAGCTAGAGAACCATGGCCAGCTGAAACCTGGGGAGATTTTCCCATCTCAGCAAACCTGCATCCCTCTTGTCACCCAAATGTGCAATTGAACCCCACAGGCTGGGTGGCATGACAGAAGGGCAGGGAGTGCAGGCAGCTAGTGCACCACAGTGCTGTCATGGGCAGGAGGAGGAGGAGGAGAGGAAGGTACTGTCAGCTGGGGAAAGCTCCTTGTGCAGGATCCCTCTGACAAATGCTTCAGGGCTAAAGACAGAGGAGACAACCCAAATCTGAGGGGCAGCAGTGGTGCTTCCCCAAAGATGCTTTATGTGGCCTGAGTATGACTGAGAGTGAGGCAGGAAAGGCCAGGGAAGGCTTGAACAAGTCTCTTAATGAACCCAAGAGTCTTGATAGGTTGAATAAACACAGGCATTCAATCAAGAAAGTTTTTTTTTAAGAGGGTACTTTTGGACTGAAATGCTTTAAAATATCTATTTTCTAGAACAGAGTTGTTCTAGATAGATGTTTCTGAGAAAATGTATGGCCTTTTCACATCTAACTTTGCCAAATATTGATTTCTCCTTTTTGTAAGAGTAAAAGCTCAGCAGCAAGAGCTACTATACTAAATATTGAATTTCTGCTAGACCCAAAACATGGGTAAATATCCTAGCAAGACAAATGAATGTCAAATTGTTAACAGAGGCTGAGATATTAAATGGAAAAGATCTATTAGATCATTCAGAGCTCTGCCTGAGAGCTGCCTCCCAGAAGAGTTACCCAGCAAACATGCCTACTGAGAAAGCAGAGGACAGCATCCAATACAGATATGGAAAAGCATACCTGTTTTAATCAAAAAAACAAAAGGAAGAGCAGGCACTAGTCTAGATGTTATTTAGCCTCTCAGACAACTTCTAGCTGAGATTAGAAGTTTGTTTACCAGGCTTTTCCTCACATCTGAAAAAGTATGGTTGTCTTCTGTCAACCCCACTACCACCCGTACAATATTGGCAAGGCAGAAACAACGATTAAATCTTAAGACATTCGTTTTCTTATGGTAAGAATCCACAAAAAAAAAAAAAACCATAAAACCATGATAATTAAATAAAGGTCACTCCTAGGCATAATCCACCAGTAACGCTAGGCAGAAAAATGGAGATAAAAAAGAACGTGGCAGGAGAGTCCTTGGTGGATTTGCTGTACAAAACAACAGGGAAACTTAAGCAGCTCACCTCAGAGGGGAATGTAACGAACTGAGGTGACTCTATATCAATTAACATGGTTAGAAAAAAAGGGGAAAAAAAGAAAAGAAAATTATCCTAGTGGTAGAGATTAAAGGGAGGTTTAGGTTGGAAAGAAAAAGAATTATGGATGTCCTAAGTAATCCAGAGGCTGCACTTGTTTCCAGTCCAGTTTTAAGGCTTAGAAAGGACCAGAAGCGCAATTTATCCAAGGTTTTTGAGATCTGGTGTGTATATATATATATACACACACACACACATATATACATATATATATATATATAAGGACTGTTTCAACAGTACTTACTTAAGTCAGTTAATATTGCTGCAAACCAGTGATCCCAATGGCTATTTTAGCTTGCCAACCTGGAGAGGCTTACACTACCTGATAGCTTTTATCTATACAGTCAGACGTGCCTAGAACCAAAATGCTGCGAAAACGAAAGAAACTGCTTTTTCTGTTTCTTGTGGATGTGGTCACCAGCGACCCAGGACTCTGATGTGAAGGTGAGCTCTGGGCTTCCTGGCAAGGCAGGAAGCATCTGTGGTGAGACACTGTCATACATCTGCACAGGCCACAGCCTGTGGATAGCTGGTACCCAAAATCAATCAGCATGTTTGGGGGTGGCTAAAGCCTTTACAGATGCCTTTGACTGGCAAACACCGGGAGCAACCAACACCTGGGGAGTGTTTTATTTCAGCAGGTCCAGGAAGGGTGGCTCTGCTGCCAGAGCTGTGACTGCAGGATGGTTTAAGTTTGCTTCTCCAGCAAAGCCACCCAAGAGCAGTTTAGCTAAGCAGTGAAATACAGCATGATCTTGTGGTAGTAGTAGCTGCTGATATATGCTTGTAAACCACTTCCTTGACCTCAAATTGGAGCTGTGCAAGCTTTTATCTTGCTAGGTGTGTGGGCGGATGTAGGATTTAATTTCCACTCTTTTTACAAAACAAGGCTGTTAGGTCTCATTAGAAGCTGTTACTGTGACCCTCATTATCCATTTCACTAACACATATCTGTTTGCTTTCCAGCCTACCCTGAGATCTCTATTAGCCTGCAGGAGGGCTCAGCTGGCACCTTGCAGAAGGTAAGCAATTTTGGAGCAAAAAGGAATGCCTGTGACCTCTACCACACCACCCCAGCAGGGCCAGGCAAGCTCAGCTGAATCAGACATAGGTGGGACCTCCAAACCAACCAAGCTCCCAGGGCGATGAGCAAGTCAATGAGTTAATGTCAGCTATTCATGCCCTTTCTTCTGAGTGACTCCCATCCCTGCAGCAGTGAGCTGCTTCAGTGAGCACAAACTGGAGCTAGCTGAGGGCTTCCCCCTGGTGTGGGCAAAATATGGTTTTGTGTCAGCCCTAGGGAAGGCTCCCGCAGAGGACTGAGAGTCTGTGAGGAGCTGATGGTGTTGCAGGGGGCAGTGATGCTCCCTTTCCCTCCCCATCTACCAGCTACCACCCGTCAGCCTCGAGCTGCCCTCTCCACATTGCTTAAAATCCCCCACTGAAGAAGGTCACCTGCTACCTGGGATGCTGCTCCAAGGGGCCAGGCAGCAGCAGCTCCTGCCTGCCACACAGCCCCGCCCCCCCCCGGGGACAGGGAGGAGCCGGAGCTGTGGGGGCAGTGCTCGGGGCACCAGCATGGCCTAGTGTGTCAATGGAAAACTGATGATCTTGTCAGGCATAATGTGCCATGCTGCAAGCAGAACTCAGCTGGAGCAATCAGATGCCAATGGAGTGACTGGATCTAAGCCTGAGGGCCCCTACTGAGAGCTGAGCAGTTACACATGTGTTTTGGGGCCTCTGGTTCATCATATGCTTGGGAATGGCTAAACCTAAAGGTCTGTTCTACTGTGCTGGCCATTCTTGGCATCAAACATATTTGTGGCCCATATGACTCACTAGCAAGCCACTCCAGCTACTAGCTATGGTGCTTTGCTTCCTGTTGCATCCATCCAGGTTGAAGCTTTTGATCCATGAGCATCCCGAATTAAGAAAGTTTTCCTTGGAAACAGTGCTCATGGGCAGGCAGAACCTTGTATTAACCATAACCACCTGCTCCAGGCAAGCCATGAGTCAGTTGACTCTGCAAAACCAGTATGATTTTCCTGGTGACCTATTTCCAGTTGTGGTGTTGGACATTGCAGGCTTTTGTCTGCATTATCCTGTTGAGTAGAGCAAAGGGTGCTGCTGTCACAGGACCCGAAAACAGAAATTCTCCCAAGAGCCTCTGTGTTCTTCACCTCCAAACAAACACCAACTCCTTTCCTCCTCTTTTCCACCCTTTCTTGCAGGGCTTAAGTCTACTTTGGATGTCAGATCTGTATTTCCTAATAAGAAGCATTTATAAAAATACTATGAACCAAAAGTGCCTGAAAAATAAGGGAATAATGAAAAGAGGGGAAAGCAATTACACTATGAGTTCAGACGTTATTTACCATAGCAAGGAAGTAGTTTCAGCTGGGTAGTTTCAGTCTTCATACTGAATGATTGACTTCTGCTGGCTGCAATACATCAAGCTTGCTTTCAACTAAATGTGTGAATCACTTTCTTTGAAAGTGGGACCGAGAGGGCTCTGGGCTGCATGAGCAACACATCCTTTTTTCCTTTTTTTATTTGTTTAAATGGAAAAGACAATTTCTCTTAGTACCATAAGCTCCTAAGTTAATATAATTGGGAACATTCAGGCAGCATGAGGATGAGACCTCCTACCTTGCTAGTGCCCAGCCCTTCATCCAGCCTTGATTTTGAGGTCCTTCCCATCTATTGCTTGATGAGAAATTAAATAGAGGACAAACAGATTTTTGGAGCAATTGGCACGCAGCCAGGACTAATGCATCTACAGCACACAATTCCTTGTGACTTCTGGAAACCTCTTACATATCGCACCCTCCACAAAAGTATCTAAGTTTGTATATTCAATGTATCATTGTGCTAGGCAGTCTCTTTCATGGCATTTCTGCCTTGTGAAGGAAGGATGTACACGGCAATCTGGAGGTGTCTCATTCTCCCCCCACACACTGTGCCCGTTACCAATTCCAGTGTTTCTCCATGTGGGTGTCTGTCACTGAGGCACTGAGCTGGGGCTGGGAGGAGGGTGGTGGGGTCACCCTACATCTCTCCAGCCACAGCCCAGGACTGGAGGGTGTTGGAGCCCCGTTACTCCCCACCTGGCCCAGGGCAATGGGGGTATCCCTGGGTTCTCTCATTCAATGGTGTCTGCAATCAGAAGAATGGTGGGGAAGGAAACACAGTAAAGAAGAAGCAAATGCTTCCTTCCCAAGCAGGATGGTGAGTAAATAAGCTCTGTCCATAAGGAATTTTGGAAGCTGGCAGCCAGGTAAGAAATGACAGAGGCTAATGACTGGCTTTTACTCCCCCATAGCCTAACATGAGCTGTGTTGTGAGGAAGGTGTTTCCCAAGCCAAGCCTCATGTGGTACGTGGACAGAGCCAGCCTGACAGAGCAGCCCAGAGGTAAGGCAACCTGTCAACAGGCAATGGCGCAGCTGTAGAAGTGGTTCCCATGAAATGTGATGGTTGCTCATCCGCTCCTGCCACGGCGAGTGTGTAGATGTCCATCTGGGTGAAGGGGAGAGTACCAGGCCTCCTCAAAGGGAACAAACAGCTGGCAAACAGCCATGACCACAGTCCCCTGCAATTTCCACTGATGGGAATGATAGCTTGGAATAAGTGTGCTGGTCTGGTCTTGCCAAATCTTTGATAGCATCTCAGCAAAGAAGCATGCAACCATATAAGCTTGCTTTTCAGTATCAATGTTTTGCACAGCTCTGATTTATAATTTGGAGTGTAATGAGAGAGTCTTACAGCTTTCCTTTTTTTTTTCTTTCCCCAAGAAATTTCTGTCGAACAAGAAGACTTGCAAGACAGTGAAGGTTTCTATCAGCTGAGATCAACACTGATGTTGCAAGGGACCCAGCAGACACATAAGACATTCTCATGTGCATGTCTGTTTTCCTTCCTTGGGAATGAAAAACGGAGTATTTCATCAGAAGAGATAATTGTTTCCTTCGGTAGGTTTTTCATAGATAGGACACATCTGAAACGTAAAATGTTAAGAACACCAAACACATGTATTCTCTGTTATTTAAAATACTGGAGAAATGTTGAAAGTATGGAAGCTTTACTGTACAAGTTCATCACACAGCTTGAGCTTTCTGGCAGGTGTTTTAGCTCAAGTCTTTGCTCAAGCCTCTAAATGAGTTAAGAATCTCCTGCACAAACCTAAGATACTTGCTGTTTGTTTAGTCAGAGTCTTGCTGCACTTCCCATATCCAAAAATACACTAGCTTAGCCACATGGCACCAGTGAATTATTATAATCACATGTTTCTCACTGAGCACTCCCAGCAGAAAGTCTGCATTTGTGCAATGCAGCTCTTAGGAAAATCAAACCCTCAGAGTGAGGGCTATGTTGTACATCTTCAGCGAAACCTGTAAAAGGCCCCTATAACAGTTGAACCATTTTGGATAATTGAGAAACACCCCTATAACCTCTACTATAAGAATTAGCTACGTGATTAGGGAAGTGTGGAGAACTATTGTCTCAAGTAATTGGTGAAAGCAGGACAGGTGGCAGTGCAGGGGTTTATGGCATTTCTGAGGAAGCAGAGTGGCAGGGAGAAGGGCAAACCGATTTACTTTAGTTAATCTTCTTATGCATGACTCCTCTTCAGATGCAAATGCGTAGTTACACCTTTCCTCTTTTTTTGCTATCTGTCTATCCTCCTTGCTGCACAGATAATACAACTGAGCTGCTGGCCCCTTAGCAGCCTCCATGGGTACATCAGGTACCGTGGTGACTACTTGCTATGTTCGCTTGTGGCCGTGGGTACGCTTATTGGTATGTTTTTCCACAAAGAAAGGCTGCACCAAAAGCTAGAGCTTACTCCTCTGGAAAGATAGCTTTGGAGAGAAAGGAGATAAATGATTATTTTTCTCCAAAATGTCTCATTTACCCCAGTTTGCAGTTTTGTAGAAATATATTCAAACTGGAGAGCTGTCGATTAAAGCAGTCTACTTTCTTGCCTGCAGGCTATGCTAATTCTAAGACTCTGTATAAAAATGTTGATGTATTTATATGTGACAGAAAGAAAAGAATTAAATTAATTCTCAGCTATGTTCTGTGAAGGTGCCATACTAATGCACAGTATGACATAAACCCCAAACTAAATTTTCAGCCTTTATAACAAAAGCATAACTACTTTTAAGAACTGCTTTCATCTTTATTTTTTTTTCTTCAGACAATAAGTCTAATGAAGCCTCATCCAAAGCTTTTACCACTATAGCTTCAAAAGGTAGGATAAATTAGAGAACAAAATAACTTGGGTTATGTTAGAGGTGCATCTATAAATTCCTAAAGCTGTTGGAGAAATGTTTTTGCAAACTTGTTTCTGGATGGATAGTAAGGTACCCCTTTCTGCAGCTATGACTTCAGAGAAAATGCAATAAACAGACATTTTGGTGATGTGGTGATGTAATCTATCATAATTAAGCCCAAGCATAATTAAACTTCAGCCTTGAGAGGCACTTAATGTTATTTCTGATGCTTCAGCTGGCATTTGAATATAGCTCTTTCAGCACTGAACTAATAATTAAAAATAACAGCCCCACTAATGGTTCTACCTTCTGCTTAAGTACACAGCCAAGTTCCTCAACACTTTTGCCTAATTAAGGAACTGATGGAATGTTTCTTCATTTGCGTAAATTTGGTAAATCCACGCTCTGCCCCTGCAAGTTTGTCTTATTATCAGCTTATTGCAGACAGATAAATTGTTCCCTTCACACCTCAGCTGAAGCCTTTTGGAGGCGCCCTTCCTGGAGCAGCTAGTTCTGCTCTGTGCAGGAGGCAGCTGCATTTCAGCAGTGGGTTACGTGAGTGTGTCAGAGAAATGCTGTAGGCAAGCATCATGGAAAGAAGTGTGGTTTTCACTGTAAGCAAGTGCAGGTTGTGGCAGGCCCTGGGGGTTCAGCCAATACCCTGCTGGGCACCACAAAACCTTTCCAGGTACCGGGGTTTCCTGAGAGAGGGACTTAGTCCTCCACTGGCCTCTGCAAGGTGATGTCTCAAAGCAGCGCTTGCAGCTTGTGTCAGGTCACCACCCTGCTCCGCCTTGCACACTCTGCAGAAACGTACTGGGAGCTGGGCACACCTCAAGGTGCCCCACCGCCCTGGGTTTTAGACCTGCTGCGTCTTTGGTAAGGAGTCCTTTTACGTCAGCCAGCTACTATGAAATCCCTGTTAGCCCAGGTGAGTCTAAGGCGAAATACAAATGGCAGAGCAACACTCAAAACAGTCAAAGGAGGTACAAATGCTCGCAAAGGAGAGCAGCTGAAGAGTTGATGGTTACCTGCTTAGGCTGAGATCCTGTCTGAAGAGGGCCACTCCCTGCCCACTGCCCTCTCAACATTCCTGACCAGACTGCCTGCCAGGCCTGGCTGCCTTCCTGGATATATTTTCCTAAGGGGGTGAGTGAGCTTTCATAGATCACCTCCTTCATAGAGCCCTTTGGGGGTATTTAATTATTGCTCCTAACCTACTCAGGGAGTACTTTGCTTCACCTCCCAAGGCAAGGGAAAAAAAAAAAAATAAAAGGAGTGGGACATCTCTCCCTCAGGATGTAAATGCTGCTTGGGCAGGATGGTGTCTCTGTTGTGCTTGTCTGGCTGGCTAACTGTCCTGTAATTACAAGGAATAACTCCCTCTCCTCTTCTTTGAGGACTCAATGAGCACTTTTCAGCACAAAGTGTCCCTGAAAGTTCCTGCCAAGGTTGCAGTCTCTGAAGTGCCTCATGGATGGAGCTATGCAGGTGCCACCGCCAGCTCATACATGTTATTTCAACATGTGTGCTAATAAGGTGCATCTGTTTGTAAGGAACAAAACCATGCAACTCACTTCTGCTTTGTGAGTTGAGGTGCCAGGGGGTCCAAAACCTCTTTCCCCAAAACCTGTGTTTTTCTAAGGGTTTCAAAGCACAGTTACCTTGGGTGCTTCTTGTTTGTCACTGGACAACTTGGCTGAGCTGTGCATTGAATGATTATTTGGAAATTAAGTGTGATGCACTCTCTCACTCTTGAACCTTTGAATCACCCGCTTTTCTAAAGCAGAATAAACACCTTTCTCACCCTGAGTAAAAGTGTTTAATTTGATTTGTTACAGACCTTGGAAATTCAGCACTTCCATCAGCTGTCATGACTACCTCAGGTAAGGGGAAAAAAAAGCCTTCTTTATTACTCAGTCAATATATGTAGGATCTCTGCTTGACCATTGCTTAAATGTCATGTACACAGAGCCAGAGGCGTGCCAGGGAAAGGTCAGTGTGCTCTGGTACTGACGGTACCTGTGTGCTGCTGGATGGGAATTTGTGAGCTATGAAGTCACCCAAGAGGAGATCTGACACAAATCCTACTAAAACTATCATGTTAGGACAGCATGTAAAATGGCATGCTGAATTTCACATATTTTTCTTATGCTTTTTTATAAAATGGAATAAATACCCCTAGACAACTATGGATAAATCTGTCCTATTATGACAGAGAGGTGCATGTGATAGAAAAGTTAAACCCACCACTCTTCCTTGACCCAGTAGTAGCGCATCATTCCCATTCATTAATGATATAAGACAAATAACACTGCTTTACCAGAGTATGCATATGGATAACTATATAAAACTATCTTCATCAATTGAGAGGAAAATCTGCAAGAGCAGGCGATCTCCTGGGCTTATACGGCTGCCGCATGTTGTCAGGACCGTTCCTGGCAAGGCCCTGGCTAGGCGGGAGAGCACCACCATCAAGTGCATAACCCACCCCACAGCAGTTAAACTGGACCCTGCGTATAAAAACATAAATAAATAGTGCACACAGTGAGCCCACATGAAAGGGTCAGCATTAATAGCACCAGCCATCTCTAAGGGCCCCTTGAATTTGAGGGATGTGTTCTGGGCATTTAACCTTAACTCCGACAGCGGGATTCTTGCCGCAGAGCCCGCATTTACCCAACAGCTACTGCAAGCTTTTTGATTTAGGTTGTTGTATGATTTATTAATAATTGTTTAAAAAGACCTTATTGGCTGAATGTGACACCATGTAATCTGTTTGTCTTTAGAACATCAGTCGTCATCTTCGGCTTTTCTGGATTTCACAAGTCAAGCAAGCTTGACTCCTGCTTCCACGACACAAGGTAATCAATTCAGCCAAAATGTTTTATCTATTTCTTCAAGAACATAGGAGAAAGATACATAAATACAATAACCATCTTGCATTTTTTGTAGCAAACAATTTAATGTCCACTGAAGCCCTTTTCCTAGTGCATTATACACTAGGAAGTCCACAGTTTCAAAAAAGATATATGAGAAAATGCTGTTTTGATTTTATCTTTTTTTAATCTTTTTTAAAAATTAAATATCATACAAAAATAGAATTACATTGGAGCTAGAAAAAGTGCAGCCCAAACATTGGAGCAGAGGAGCACAAATGTAAAGCACCAATAAACAAAATATTTACAGCGGATGACTCAACTCAGTGACTTCTTCTCTGGGTTGGTGACAAGGAGGCCAGTGGAGGGCAGGGTGACTCACTTGGAAGGGTTTAACCTCGCTTCCCTGGGGAGAAGTATGTGCACCAGTGGCTGGCACACACTCAGCAGCAGGGCAGCAGCCTGATGGCGAGCCGGTGAAGCTGTGAACCTCCTGCCTTCTGATCCCAAAATAGAGGGTTGATGCCCACCAGTCCCAGCGGAGTGCATTTGCTCGCAGCACAGCCTGTCTGCAAACACTTTTTTCTTTAAAGTCTCCTTCCATTTTGAAGTCCAGCTGTGGATCCCTGTAGGACTGGCTGGTTTTAAGCAGCAGTTAGGAGGGTGTTGGGGCTGCCCTCACTGGCAGAAAAGTGTGTGCTGGCTGCCATACAGCCTGAATAAACGCATGCACAGCACTCACTCCCTTTTTGGAGCCAAAAGTGCATGTGTGAAATGGCAGTGCAGGCAGCACGAGGAAGAGCCAATGTGGCAAGTCATTTTCAAATGCTGTCTTCCCCTCCATGGCAGCCCCAAAGCTTTCATTCAGAAAGGATCCACCGCTGAGGCAGCAGCCGGCAAGAGTGGATTTGGCCCTTGGTATTTGTGGCAGCCTTGTTCTTCCAAACAACAACAAAAAATTGATTGCAACAGACTAACTTTCAGGAGCCTGTGGGGCATTGAACATCTTCCTTAAACTGTGCAATTCAATCCTGCAACTTTCACTTAAAGTAACCTACATTATGCTATAGCAGTAATGCAATGGGCAGTGTGTAGGGTAATACTAGAGGGAAGATGCTGAACACAAGCCTTCGTCCTGCCCCAGCAGAGTACTGTTTGGGAGCTCAATGTAAAGTCCTGGGGCACGAAAAGCTAGATCGAGACATGCCAGGGTAGGAGCATAGATTGCACCAGCACTGAAATTAAAGTTTGCTGCTTCTCATGCTGCCTTCCTCGTCCCCAAAGTAGAGATGCTTGTCAGCCTAGATGACAGCAGAGCAGCAAAGCACTTGCCCAAGTGGACTGAAAGCCCTTTTGGGTCAACAAACAATTTCACGACAAAGGCTATAAAGATACAATGTGAACAGAGAGGATTCTCCTCTATTGATTATACATCTTCACTTGTTGAGAAGGTATGAGGAGCTGGAGCTCAGGTACTTCTCTTCCGTAAACAGCCCAGGAAACAACTGCCCTTTAACCAATGCCCCTGACCTATGGCAGTTGCGGTGTGCTGACCATGGGTTAGTGCATCTCCTCTCTGGCTCATTGCTGGTTCCCACACTTGTGCCAGCCTCAGCTTCTTGAGCAGACCCTTTGGGCTGCAGCTGAGTCAGGATGTCAAGACCACATCTGCTGTGGTAAAAAGGGGTTTGGTTCAGTTCCTGTTATTTTGCAAGTGTTTAATGAAAATCCAAGAGACAGCTGGGAATTGATACAAGGTAAGAGTGCACAGATATTGGAAGGATCAGGAAGGGGGGAGAAAAAAATCAAGGCTCTTAAAACTGCATCCTGCTCTTTGCTTAGCCCAGAGATGCTCAGGCTTTGAGTGCTGGGTTACAGCTGCATTTCACCTTCTCAGGTTTGTTCAGATGGCTTAATGATACTTCTCTAAAAATGAGACAGGTGTTAAGAAAGATGGACTCTTTTTAGCGAATGTGAAATAGTCCTCTTGCAAAAATAGAGGTCTACTTGCCAACCACCATCTGTCTGTGCTTGAATATCAGATAAATAGCTAGCTGAGCTGTAGAATACTTAGCTCTTAAAAAAAGGATTAAAGGAAAAAGTTAAATAAGTTGGCATTTGGCACCAGGCATCACAGGTATGACTCCTGTACACTAACTTCTTCAAAACTTCTCTTTGCTAGTTGGGAAAACAGTTTTGTCTCATTGGAGCTGGTGAAACCCTGTCTAAATTCTGATTTAAGTAAGTTTGTTCATTGCTCTACTGGCTTCAGGTCGAAACAAGTCAGTGCGCTCAGAACTACGGAGTTTCAGCTGAAACTCATCTGAAATCCAAAAATGCACACTTAAATACCCCTTATGTTTTCTCAAAGTTTATTCATCCATCTCACCAAACTCCTTCTGAGTTTCTAGCTTGTGATTCACTTTCAAACCAGACACAGAATTGTCTGAGAGAAGAGCATCTCACATAGTAGGTTACAACCATTTCACCTTGTTAGTCAGGGAACAGGGAAGAAGGAGGGGAAAATGAAAAACAAATGATATGGTCCTTTACAGCAAATTTTACGAGCTTGTTTTTTGGCTGGAGGTCTGATTTCTACTGCAAAGACAAAAAGCTATACCAGTGCCACAGCATTCAATGAGAGCTTGACAACAGCATATGAGTAGATGATGCATCTCCTCGGCTTTGTAGGACTGTAACAGGGGAGCTATGAAGCCAATTACAGGTGCTGCAAAGTGCAAATGTGGCACCAGCTTAGCAAGTGTTGGGTTGCAAATCTACATGATCTGGAGTATCTTGCAAAAAGTACAGCAGGAGATACTCGCCTCTGTATGATCAGTTTGTGATGCCTTTGTCAAGAACTTTAGCTCTGCAGTGCTTATTTTCAGCTGCTAGTTGATAGTCATCATATTGTCATGAAGAAATTATTACTAAACATGGAAAACTTGTATCCAAGAAGAGGACAAAAGTCACACGGTATAATCTGTACCAGCTTTTCAATACTTCACAGAAGCAATTCCCCTGCTGAGTTGCACTGAGGTAGAAGAAAAAGGCTTGAGTTTTCCAAGCCATCAAGGATTTGCAGCAGCAAAAAAGGAATGAAAAAACGTTTGAGTATCCTGGTTTTATTAGACATATTAATATTAAAATTGAGAGAGTTGCTAGGCAAATGTAGTGAGTACTGAGGGAAGTTTATAGATGAAATAAATTACTGGAGAAGCTAAATAAAATCACAGAGCAGCAATGAAATAATGAGTTAATGTGGGGCAATAAAGGCTGGCTAATAGAACATTGAAAGGTGGCCTCATTAAAGATCAATAAATCAATAAAAAAAAGTCATTTAAACAGTGGATTTATTTTTTTTTAATTTATAAATCAGCAATTATACTAGAGACTCTCAGGTATTTCTGTTATGTTGTTTCTTGTTTGCATCAGAGAAAAGCGAAGGGAGTAAAATAGCCACAGTTGAGCCTAATGAAGCAGTCACGTGCAGGTTTGTAAGATAATTGAAGGATATTATTTCTTTTTCTACAGATTTGAACAATTTCACTACTGAATCCCAGCAAAGCCTTGGGAATACCACGCGCTCCTCTGAGAACACAACCCCGGCGCATCGTAAGTGCCATGGCAGCTCTGGAAATGCTGTGCCATTGTCTAGTCGCATATTTTAGCTATTATTTTGGAAGACACAAAGACAGAGATGGCTAGAAGAAACAAGAATGTATCCTTAGGCAGCACTGATCTTAAACATTGGTAGCTTAGCTGTATTAAGAAAGGCAAAATATCTGTCTACAAACAGACGAAAGATGATTTTTGTGGTTCAGACGACACTTGACAGAGGAGACTGACATTTCACTCAGTCACGGCAGAGGCAGACTCTTTGTATTGCTGCTAATCCACTTAATTTCTTTAGCTTTTTCATTACCATAAAAGAGGTAAAAAGCCTATAATTCTTCCAGATCGCTGTGCAGCTCAATGCTGGCTTGCTGGAACATCTTAATAGGTGTTTTCTAATAGACTTTCTTTCTTTCTTTCTTCTAATATTCTTTAATTTGATAAAAGCACATATTTTGTCTAACACCAGGTTGTAGGCCAAAAATGTAAAAAAAAAAAAATGTAGGCACCTTGCCAAGTTAATTTTGACACCCTGGTTCTGGAATTTTGTTTCCAGTCTTCTTCAGGTGGCTTCAAAACACAATCTTCACTAAGCAAACAAACAAAAGCTACTAAAAATGTTCTGTGCCCATATCTTTTTAGGTAACCTGTCCTTCAGCATCACAGACCAGCCAATTTCGGTTACCAGAGGGAAAGATTTCCTTACTACCAGCAGTCTACTCAATAGCACTGGTGAGACATTATCCTACAAATCCTCTTCTTTCAGCACAATGTTGCAGTAAGCAAGAAAAGCAGAGAAGCACGAAACCTGGAGCTTTGTGTACATTTGACCAGGGGAATTAAAAAAAGGGAAAAGAGATTAAAAGAGGAGTCATGGTTGCTGTGTCCCCACACCACAGGTTGGTTGTTGCAGGCTTTTGGCATCCCTGCTTTCTTCCTGCATCTGCAAGCAATGCCTCAGTGCATGTTTTCTTCCAGCAGCAGAATTGGGCTGGTCACACTCCTGTGCCCGAGGGACCACTCAGGGCTCAGGCAGTGTGGTAGACTTGGCACCCAGAGGCAGCACTGGCTGCCACTGTGGCTAAAACCCAGGCTGGGTGACATACCAGTATGACCAACCTTGCAAAGGGTCATGACACCAGCACAACGGGAGGTGACACTAAGGCAGTATTGGCCAGTGACTCTTGTGCTCCAGCCTTCTCTGGCACCCAGGCCACTGCTATACCCTCCACAGCAGCTGGAGGAGGACCATGCTCCTCCTCTCCTTCCTCCCCATAGCCAGGACCCCAAGGTCACCTCTTTCAGCCACCAGCACCCCCAAGGGTGGCTGTGCAGAATGGTGCAGTGGGGGGATCCCAACACCATGGTGGGGAGAGGCAGCCGGGCAAGGCAAGGATGCTGTGCTGCCAACAAGAGCCCACCCCAAAAGGCAGCTGTGCCCTTGGCCAGATGTTTCGGCAGGGTTTGGTGTCAGTGGTATGAAAAATAAGCTGGTGGGAAGGAGGGCTGGGGCAGGAAGCTGTGCCTGGCTGCACCGCAACATGCTGCCTCTTCTCAGAGAAGCTCATGGGGGAACAGAAAACCAATGGTTTTCAGATTAAATGCTTGCTGGGCTGTGCCTGAAGAATCTCCTCAGGTGAACCGAGGGGTGGCTGAAATCAGCCCACAAACCCAGTCAGAACAAAAGTGGGTTAAGTCCATAAATTAGAGCTGCAATGCTTAGCGTTTGGGATCCTCAGCCTGGGAACCTGGCAGTCCAGTGTTGATTTGGGGCTGCACTGTCACCAGTACTGTGCCTGCAGGGAGCAGCAAGCCCCAGGCAGCAATCCCAGATGTCCCTCCCTTGGGAGAATGTTTGGTTGAGCTCTGCCTTGTGTGTCCCTTCCAGGTGGTGTGAGGAACACAAAAGCTGGTCACTTCCCCTGGCCAGCAGTGGTAGCCGTCCTACTCCTCTTCTGCAGTTTTCTAATAGCTTTAGGCATCAGGAAATGGTGTCAGTACCAGAAAGAGATGTAAGTACCAAGCAGGGGAATCGCAGGGGCGGGAGGGGAGGCACAGAGGACAGCACAAACTGACCCAGCTGCTTGGATTTATGCATTTTCATTTGAACGTACCCATAGTGCACAAGACCTTCAAGTACATGGATCTCTAATGTTCTTTTTTCATATAGAGGTGTGAAATGTGGAGCATTCTCGGTCCTTTCATCTGTTCTCTGGGTTATCTATAAAATAAACTTTAAAAAAAAAAAAAAAAAAAAAGAGCTGTGGTGCCGCTTCAGGGTGTGAGGAAAGAATACAAGTCAATTTTTTTCCCCAGAGCCCCACCCCCCTTCTATTAGTCTCCCTGCAAGCTGCTTTTCCTCTCACATTTTGCATGGTTACTTGAGGACATGTTTTAATGAAATGGTACTTCTAGGGCAACTCTATTTGAGGTGTGATTAATATACGTGAAAGTAGGCTACCTGAAACTTAATCCCAGTCAAAGAAACATTGAGTTTGTAATTATTGCCAAAGTTTAATTCCTCAGAGATCTACTCATGAAAGCAGTATCTAATAGCCAATTATTTTTTGTCTTACTAACATAGCTAAAATGTTTGAAAAATCATGGTGATCATGAATCATTTGTGGTTCTAGAAAATCCTTTTGAAATATGACTGCAAATCCTGTATATCAAAAGTAAAGATAGGATTGATTTCTTTCACTGATTTGAGTTGGGACCTTTCTTTATCTTGGACTATGAAGTGACACAAAAAGTTATGAGGCTTTAAATATACCTTCAGAGAGCCGTGTGAGCAAAAGACCTCTGTGAGGGTTTCGAATGCTTCACTGGGACCATGACCTGGTTTTTTGTTTTTTTTATTTTTTTTTTTTTTTTTATTTTTTGAAGCATGAATAAAGTAAAATTGTGAGGTGGGAGCTGAGAAAGCCAAATGAACACCAGCAGGTGCATTGGGGCTGTAGCACAGGAACAGGGAAGTCCCAGTATGTAAGAGTAAATGTCAAGTGCTCTTATAATGATTTAGTGCACATGTACCTCCTCCTGTGAACATTTACAACAATCCTTTACATGGCTTTTGTGTGATAGCGCGTTTTTTCTCTTCTGTTTCAGTATGAATAGGCCTCCATCTTTCAAGCCACCGCCACCTCCGATAAAGTACACCTCCATGGTGGAGTCTGATGGGACTCCCCCATCCTGCCACGAACTGGAAAACCTGTAACATCGCCTACACCCTTTGTGTAACATGCAGAAGACTGACAGTTAAAAGGCTCGGTCTTTAAAGCAGTGATTACAGGAGTTTGGTGTTAATGACCCACATTAAAATTCAGAGCGCCTAAGTGACATTAATGTTGGAAGCTGAGCGCTCCTGAGGACATTTACTTCATCCTCTCTATCTCTATGTATGCATTAGGTTAACACCATTGTGTCACCGTGAGATTACATGTGCTTAATTTGAATTGCGTGATCAACTGGGAATTTGCTGTCTTGTTAATGGGAGCAGATTAACACATTGCTCTGCCAGCCCGCCTGAAGAGTGTTGAAGATTTTTGTTGTACTAAGTGTATAGAGATGACAGCTTTGCCATATGGACACCATGATTACACAGGAAATGTTGGCTTAATACAAACTTTTTGATACCTACAAGAGCCATTCTTTTAATTATTATTTTTTACTATACATTATTGACTAATATGACCCAATATATAATTTCCTATCACTGTGAAAACAAACCAAAAATAATCAGCACCTTACACAGAAAGAAACTAGTCTGCATCTGTCCTGACGGGGCTGCAGCACAGGATCACAGGGAGGAGGTGGTGAGATGCAAGGGCACTGCACCAGCCGGGTGGAAGTGTTCATGAAGACTCAGTTGCTGTTGGTGAAGTCAGAAGAAAGAGTCAGTTGTGAGCTCATTTACAAGCCACCTGTGGACCAGAGACTTAAGGACTGAACTGAATAAGGACTCCAAAGATACCGGAAAGTGACAGTCCTTTTGGAATTGCTGTGCCTTCAAAACAATAATTACTCTTGTATCTGTTTTTATGAAATTATATTTACGGTACATGTGAAGAAAAAAAGGAATATAATAATTTTTTTCTCCTTTGTTCTTAATGAGCTTCAGCCATTTGCTATCTTTATATTTTTCAAGACCCCAAGGGTAGTTTACCAGACTTAAGCCTGTAGAAGGTATGGTCCACACTTATCCCTAATCCTGCCTGGGCTGCGTATTTCCTTGCATTGACACTAATGATTAAATGACCGTGCCAAGGGTGGGATCAGCTCAGCCTGCTGCACAGTTCTCAGACAGGTCAGCAGCTGTATGATCACTAACGCAAGGCACAAGAGGTGTAGCAGGAGCACTGCTTTTTGGCAGCAGTGTGGTCTTACAATACCTTTGTACAGCCAAGAAACTGTTCCTCCAAGCTTGTTTGAAAACATATTGTTATCACAAAGGTATTTCTGTAAATAATGCAAAGCAACTAAAATTCAGTCATGTCAAGCTTGAAACTAGTATTCTGATTTAGGAATGGGATTTGGCTTATTTACTGCTAAACACTGGTTGATGAGTATCACGGTTCAGAGCACTGTATTTCCCAGGACTTTAGATGAATGAATTACTTCCTGGAAAGAATGATCTGACAGACCTTTTAAAAGTATTTTGTTGTGTTATTTACCTCATAGCACAGGCAGGTCTAAATCCATCACTAAGGGAATACAGGTGCTCAACAGAATACACTTTCCTTGCTACAAAACTGTACAGACTTTGCATGCACAGAAGGCTCAGTATTAATTTGGGCATTTCTTATCTGTATGGGTTTGTAAAAGCAAAATAGTTTAACTTCTGTCATACTATCAGTCACAGCAAAAGAAGGCAGTTTTTGGTTCTCTAAAAAAACAAAACAAAACAAAACAAAAAAAAAAAAAAAAAAAAAAAAAAAAAGGAAAAAACCAGCTGGATAGCCATATTCCAAAGGATGCAGAGCCAGGACTTTCTTCCTTGCCATTAGATGAGGATGACTGTCCATAGTACACTTGTCGAAGAGGGGTGGTTTAATCGTCTTGGATATTTTAATCCCTTCAGTTGTTTCAGGTCAGGGATGTTCCCTCTGACGCTGAGTTTTTGCAGAGTGCCATGCAAAGTGCTCAGGTTTGACATGGTTTCCACCACTACCTGCTAACGGAGCCAGACGCAGGGAGAGCCACCAGCAGCTCTGTCCCGTCCCTGACCCACCCAGCCCGAAGGATGCTGCTGCTTCCAAAAATCTGGATCAGCAATGTAAAGATCTTTAGGCGACTCCCGCCTG